TAGGTATGTATGTATGTATCTATGTATGTATGTATGTATCTATGTATGTATGTATCTATGTATATATAAATTTGCAGATTTTTTTGGATATATATATATATATATATATATGAATATGTGTCGAGCTACCCTCAACACTAAACCCTAATCCCCCAACCCGAGATCACAAAGCAATCCAAGACCCCGGACCTTCAACGCAAACCTATGAGGATCTGAACCGTTCTAAACCCTAATGTACGGTAGAAGCCAGAAAGTTGGAACATCATTATCCGGGTACCCTTAAGGTAAAATATAGGGGATTCTAGCACTAATCATCCTCAATCCATGTTCCAACCTTCTGTGGTTCGCTGTAGGGTTTTGGGGTTCCTCTAAAGGGTTCCTTAAGGGCTTCTATAAGGGTTTAGGGTTTAGGGGCCTTTAATGGTTAGACTAGGGTTTTGGGGCCCATTATACTACCATATTGATAAGAAGGAACCCTCAAAATGGTATTGGTAAATAATTTGGGCACGCTAAACCTTATACCCTAAAACCCTAAACCCTAAACCCTAAAACCCTAAACCCTAAACCCTAAACCCTAAGCTGCCTTCGTCAGGGTCTCTAAGCCGAGCTCCAGCTGCAGGTGGCATGCCAGGGTGCGGAGGACATCCTTTCCCTGGCGCATGATGTCTTCCTTAGTCTAGGGTTTAGGGTTTAGGGTTAGAGGTCTTGTGCTGGAAGTCACAGGGCTCGAGGATTTTAGGGTCTGGGGCTGCTGGCAGGTTAGGGTTCAGGGTAAAGGGTTCAGTGCAAGTTAGGATGTAAGGGTTAGGGCAAGCTTGGGTTAGGGTTTCGGGCCTGTCTGCGGACATGCCAGACCTACAGCTCTAAGGAAATATAGCAGGCCAAAGACAAACATGACTGATGAATGTAGGGGCCTTAATAGTTGGAATAGGGTTTTGGGCCCCCATTATCTATAACTACAATCAGGAACCCCGCAAAATCGTAGTGGTAATTACTTAGGCCCCTATGCCACTCAGACCCCTACATTGGGGCTGAGGGGAACTAAGTATTTGGACCTAGCCCCGGCCCTCTAAGCCCAAACTCTACCGTACCACCCTAAACCCTACCACCTTAAACCCTAAACCCCTACCACCCAAAACCCTACCAGCCTACACCCAAACTAGGTCTGGGTCTCTGGGCGAAGTGGTTGGACAGCCGACCCTGGCGCACTTCGATTCGATTCAGGGTGCGGGAACCCTCAAACCCTGAACTGAAAGCCCGAAACCCCAAACCTTACATCCTGTGCGTACACAAGCACATATATAATGTATGTGTGTATATATATATATATATACATGTATGTATGTTCGTATATACACAAAAATATATGAACAAACAACTACATAAACGAAACTACCGATAAATAATTATGTAGATGTAGGTGTGTATATATATATATATATATATGTATGTATTGTGTATATATATATACACACACCGGTTTTACAGTTTATATAGTGTATATATATATATATATACATACATACATACGTACATAGGTACATATGTATGTAGACATATAAACACACATGCACATGCTGCCATCTTACCCGGCTCTGCTTACTTATCAGGCTCGATTGCCGGGGACTGTTGGTATTTGGGGTGAAGCTTAGAGTGCAGGGTTTAGTTTTGGGATGAAGGTTTTTTTTTTTTTTTTTACGGGCCCTTTTCGGAAGGGTTTAGGGTTTAGGGTTTAGTTTTGGGATGAAGAGTTTAGGCTTGCGGGTGTGGAGAAGCAAAAGATTTTACATAAGCACGGCCAGCAGCATAGGCGAGGTCCAGAGTGGAGCGTTTGCACCACCTCGAACTCGTTTAGGGTTTAGGGTTTAGGGTTTAGGGCTCTTGCTGCTTGCCTATGCTGTTTTCCTACACCCTAAACCCCAAACCCTGACGTTTAAGGCTTTGTGCACATTGCTCTCACCTGTCTTGTCACCTGATTATGATCCAGCACACCTGCTTTTCGATTCTAACCCTGAGGCAGCATTCGAAGTCTTAAATAACTGTTTTTTGGGCTCAGGGTGTTGAGTTCAGGGTTAGAGTTTAGGGTTTAGGGCTCAGGGTGCTGAGCTCAGGGTTAGAGTTTAGGGTTTAGGGGTTTAAGGCTGAGGATGTTGAGTTCAGGGTTACCCATGATCTATCTCGCGACGCGGAACAGGAAAGGCGAGCTGCCTTCAGGCAGCCTGGGCTGGGTTCCTCAAAAACCCTTGATAATAATTAAACCCTAAACCCTAAACCCTAAACCTTTAATAATTACACGGAGCGTTCTAAAAGGAACCCTTTTCCCAAAATTCGGTTCGAAGAGGGAGACCTCAGAACAAAAGGGCCAAACCAGTACTACGGCTGATGAAAAAAATCCTGTATTACCTTAAAGACCCTAAACTATGGGAATTGTGGCAAATTCCTCATTCTGGGTAATGCAGGATTTCTATCAACAACCCTAAACCCTAGACCCCAAGCCCTAAACCCAATACTGGGGAAACTACTGCGACCTAATGGTTCAGGAGCGGTCAAGCACTTCGCCCTATGAGCTCCCAAGTACTCGAATACTACGAAACCGCAAAGCCCCAGAAGCCCGAAGAAGTCCAGTTTAGGGTTCACTGTTTAGGCTTTAGGGTCTAGGGGTTCAGGGTTTAGGGTTAATTCGAAAACCCTCGAAGCCCAAAGACATCCTAGTCCCGAAGAGTCAACTCGAAACACCTAGAGCCCTTACGCCTCAACTCGCAGAGTCTATTTGGGAGTTTCCGAAAATGGGGGACC